CATTGCAAAAAAAAGTATCCAGCTTGCTCATAGTGGGATTATGTTGCTCATTGCTCCATGTAAACTTTCTATTTTGCAGGTGGATCTCCTTGAGCTCACAAGAGTTGAGTGCATTACGGAAGCGAACAATACGACTTCGGTCCACATTTGCTCTGTTTTTGTCGCGGGCGCGGTAGATTTGGTTGAAATCTCCAGTGACCAGCCATTTAACTCCATCAGGAGGCCTCTGGCTAATCATTTCCTGAAAAAAGGAGTCCTTCAGATTGCTTCTTGTAGGTCCATACACCGAGGTCAGCTTGAAGGAGGTACTGGATTCGACAATGGTCACCATGGCTGAAAGGAGGAAAGTCCCCAAATTGACCTGCTCAATCCTGATCACATCCTCATTCCAGAGAAGGAGGATTCCTCCCCGGGTGACAATATTTGACATGCGGTGCTCACAACAGTTCATCTGTACATTATCAGGATGAACTGCACATATATATGATTCGATGCTCTGTTTGATTTATGCCCAGGAGCGCCATGCCAAATCGTGGGCATTGTGGGCGCACCAAAATGTTGGCGGCCGAATCGGCCGCCCAGTTTTGCCAATGCGTTGGCGTAGAAACAGAAGAGGGAAAAGTGGGGTGCGCTGGCGAGCCAAAATATTGGAGCTCACCCAAACGAGCTGCGCTTTCTCTGTTAACGCCAAAATATTGGCTGGGCGGACAGGGGCTTCAATCCAAACAGCCCCTAAATCCCTCTCTCTCTCAAAAAGCAGCTAAATCCAAATGCATAGCCAATGCCCTTTAACCATTTTTTACTGCGAGGAATGCATTTTTACTCTGGATGCTTCCCAGGAATGTCCATCTGCAGCAAAAACCTCAATATGATCTCTATAGTACTACATTTTTACTAAGGTAACCGACCTCTATCATTTAAGATCTCGCCACTTGAGATTCAGATCCATAAGGGAACCTAAGGGGGTGTTTGGTTCCAGGGGCTTTTTTGTGTTGGGACTAGAAAAAGTCTCTAGCAAACCAAACAGAGTGGGACTTTTTGGGACTTTTTGCTAAAAGTTTTTAGAAGCATCTCCTTAAGAGTCTTTTTCAAAAAGTCCTAGGGACTGGAAAAAGTCTTAGGACTAGAGAACCAAACATCACCTAAGAGTATCTCCAGCAGTTTCCTTGCAAAACTTCACCTATAGGTGCTTTTAGGGCATCTTTCTATAAAATTTCTGGCTGTGAAAGGCGTGTGGCTATAACAGTTCCCCTATAAACTTTTCTCCAAAGCCTGGCATATGTGTTTCACACATACTCTTCTAAAAAAAAGAGCAGACCCCATTGAAGACGGGAGTGAGGTATAACAAGGCCATTTCCGTCTACCTTCTCACGGAGCTGTATGTGGACGTTACTGCTCATACAACTCCCAGCTAGCAAGTAGTTAGCTTTCCTCTAGAAGTCATGGAAGTGTGGATAAATTGACAGAAGGTTTTTATTTCTTAAAAATCATCCTATCCGTCCTAAATATGGACGGTCTTAAGTTTTTCGGGGTCCTCGAGATCTCATTTTAGGTCGAGTAGAGACGTTAGGGAGTCTCTGGCGTGCATGAAGACGCCAACATAGCTCCTGCTACCGGCGGCGTGGTGACCAACATCGTGTGGCGGCGTGGTGGTGATGCCGCGACGGTGCTGCTGACAGCCCACGGGTAGCGGCGAGGCGGCAGTGGTGTGGGTGATTGATGGTGTGCGGGCGGCAGCCGCAAGGTAGAGGTGGTGCGGCGCGACGACAGGCGGCTGCAAGGCATGGGGGTGGTGCGGCGGTCATCAGCGGCGAGTCAAGTGGCGGGCAGTTGCCCCTGCCAATGTCAATTGTGTTATATGGGGAGATGCATCCTCCCCTCAATATTGGAGAAAACAAGCTGTTTCTTAGGGTTACATTACAAAAATATTGATTTTAGGGGAGCTGTTGGAGTTTGTTTTTTATGCCAACTTCTAGTTGGTTTTTATTGGCGAAAGGGACCTGCCGGAGATGCTTTAATTTGTGTCTCCCTACTTTTAGTCCGAGTGATTTAAGAGTGAAAGACTCTTATTTAGTTAAGTTTTTTGGATTTAGGGGTAGTTTATTCTTTTTGACCCAAATATCACTTGTACTCCTTAAATTTGAGTTTTAAAGGATCTGCTATTGATGCCCGAGAGCAAACATAATCGTGTCCCTGAGAACATTTTGAGTTAATAAATTCCGTACAGCAGACGGACAAAGCCTTTCAACACTGGAGCTTGGCAATTTCATGTCGAGCGCCGCCGCGGCGATACACCGCGTCCTCCTCCAGGGCGTCAGCTCCAGCGATCGCCTTCCACCCCTCACCGTCAAACTGCTCCACGGCCGCCTCCTCCGGCTCGACCTCCTAGGCGACCTCTCCCCGCTCCTCCTCCGCGCGCTCTCCTCCTCCGGCCTCCACGTCCACGCCCTCCGCCTACATTCCCTCCTTCCCCTCCCCTCCCACCTGACCTTGCCATGCGCCCTCAAGTCCGCCTCCCGCCTCCCCAACCCTCTCCCCGTCGGCGAGCAGCTCCACGCCCGCTCCCTCAAGCTCCCCTCCCACTCCAACCCCTACGTCCTCACCTCCCTCCTTAACCTCTACGCGAAATGCGACCTCGTGGACCATGCGCGGAGCGTGTTCGACGAAATGCGCTGCCCCAACACGGTCTCCTGGACCGCGCTCATCACCGCGTACATGAACGCGGGGCGAGTCAGGGAGGCCGTCGCCGTCGCGAGGGACGCGTTCGCGAGCGGGATGCGCCCGGACAGCTTCACGGTCGTGCGGGTCCTGACGGCATGCGCCCGGGTCGCGGATTTGGGCACTGGGGAGGCGGTGTGGAGGGCGGCACAAGCGGAGGGGGTTGCGGGCAGCGTGTTTGTGGCAACTGCGGCGGTAGATATGTACGTCAAGTGCGGCGAGATGGCGAGGGCAAGGGAGGTGTTCGACAAGATGCCGGAGAAGGATGCTATAGCTTGGGGTGCCATGGTCGGGGGATATGCTTCGAATGGGCACCCCCAAGAGACTCTGGAGCTCTTCTTTGCAATGCAGACTCAGGGAGTGAAGCCAGATTGCTACACGGTGGTAGGGGCGCTCTCAGCTTGCACCCGGCTGGGTGCACTTGATATGGGACGGCAGGCAGTCAGGACGATGGACTGGGATGAGTTTCTTGACAACCCAGTTCTAGGGACTGCGCTGATTGATATGTATGCCAAGTGTGGGAGCACAGGCGAGGCATGGGTTGTGTTCCAGCAGATGAGGAAGAGGGACATTGTTGTTTGGAATGCGATGATCTTGGGGTTGGGCCTGACTGGGCATGGTAAGATTGGATTTGCCCTTGTTGGCCAGATGGAGAAGTCAGGCATGAAACTGAATGACAATACTTTCATCAGCATTCTCTGCAACTGTACTCATACCGGCCTTGTAAAAGATGGACGGCGGTACTTCCATAACATGACTCAGTTATACAACATCACACCTAGGATTGAGCACTATGGTTGTATGGTCGACCTGCTCAGTCGCGCTGGGTTGCTCCAGGAAGCCCGTCAGCTTATTGATGATATGCCAATGCAGGCAAATGCTGTCGTGTGGGGAGCACTTCTTGGTGGCTGCAAGATTCACCGAGACGCAGAGCTTGCAGAACATGCCTTGAAGCAGCTCGTCATGCTAGAGCCCCGGAATTCAGGGAATTATGTCATGCTCTCGAACATATACTCTAACAGCAACAGATGGGAGGATGCTGCAAAGCTTAGATCGGACATGAAGGTGAAAAGGGTTGAGAAGGTCCGTGCATATAGCTGGGTTGAGTTTAGTGGTAAGGTCCACGAGTTCCGTGTTGGAGACAAGTCGCATCCCCACATGGATCAGATTTACCAAAAGCTAGATGAATTAGGCATGGAAATGAAAACTATGGGTTACAAACCAACTACAGATGTGGTGATGTTCGACGTTGAAGATGAGGAGAAGGAGCACACTCTAGTTTATCACAGCGAGAAACTTGCCATTGCATTTTGCCTTCTCACTACCCAACCAGGGGAGGTCATTAGGGTCACCAAGAACCTTAGGGTATGCACCGACTGTCACACTGCTATCAAACTAATATCGAGGATAACTCATCGGGAGATCATTGTTCGGGATAACAATCGGTTTCATTGTTTCAAAGATGGTTGTTGCTCTTGTAATGACTACTGGTAGAAATAGAGAAGTGGTGTGTAGTTACAATTTTGAGCAGGTTGGAGTCCCTTTGACTACTAAATTTGAGCCAGCTAGATAGGCAATTTTCACTTGAAAGACAAGAGCTTCAGGACTCTTGTATTCCACCAAATGAGAATAAGAATGAGAGCAAGAAGGGGATATCTTTGTGAAGGGACCGGCACCAGAAAGTAAATCATATGGCCTTTCTATCGCCAAAATCAAATCAAGCCCCGGCCAAAGAATTGCAGCAAAGCAAGTCGTCTTTGGTTTGGAGCTAAATTCATGGATGTATAGGCTTGATAGAGTGCCCTATCTGAACGCGCTGGTATGTTTGTTCTTGTGTGTAGCTTCAAGTTATTGCAGAAATAAAAAAAATGTGCCAATATTTCTGAAAAATTGTGCCTCTCTTTGTGTCAGGTTGATGGTTGAGCGTTTTAGAGCATAACTCATGTCATTGTCAACCCTGTAGACCTTACCAGTTTCGTCTTCTGCATCACTGTTCTTCCACAAATTTTTGCCATACACCATTGAGTTGACTGTAGGTTGTGCTACCTTCAGATTCTGGCGTTTGGGCGACATATTTATGCTGCCTGAACTGGCACAAATTAGGCATTATTGCAATATTTCGACACAGTACTCATCACAGTTCATCTATACATTCTCAGCTCAAACTGCATAGAGATTCCGAATAAGTGAATGGCAAATTTTGCTTCAGACGCTTTCACTAAATTTACATCTCCAGCAGGCTGTTTGACTTCCTCACCATTCAAGAGCTCATCACTTGAGATTCAGGTACACAATGTCACCTGAATTGAGGTGTTCTGGTGTCTTGCATTGTGCGATTTCCGTCTCCATTCCCATGTCTTATCAAGGTTATCAGATGTCTCATTTCTCACGTTGTGCTTCCTTTTCCAATCCCATGGCTTCTCAGGGTTATCAGATGCCCAAAGCCCTCGGCGTGCATCTCGTGCTTTCATCTCCCACTTTACAATCAAAGTGTAAACAAGACATGAGAAACACGCGCTCATCTGTATGAACCTTTGAATTTGGCCATTTTAGTTGTCCTATCTTCCGAATTGTTTTAGCAAATAATTGATCTTAAGATCTACTCGCTCCGTTTCTAAATATAAGCCCTTTTAGAGATTTCAGTATGGGCTACATACGGATGTACATAAACATATTTTAGAGTGTAGATTCACTCATTTGACTCCATATGTAGTCCATATTGGGATGTCTAAAAGGTCTTATATTTAGGAATGGAGGGAGTAATTGGGACGTATATGGTGACCATTACAAATCATCAGCTGCTAGGTGCTATCATCCAAACCTCTTCACTAAAGTCAGATTTAAACTCATATGTTACCAGGCCAAAAAGTGAGACATTATGCAAAAAACTATTGTTTCTTACTATATACTTTTACAGTGTATAAATCTTAATGGTTTACTCCTGACACAAAATGAATTCAGAACTTTAAATTACACCATGATGTTCTATTCAGAAATATGTTAGTGTTTTTTCACAATTATTATATTAATTTACTAATAAAACCCAAGTGCTTTTCATGGGTGCACTTAATTCATGGTTTAATCTAGCTGGTGGATATGCCCCCTTAGGTATTAACCAAATAACCAATAGTTTGTAAGCATGCCAAGTTCATTTTAGATATGAAAGGTGTTTCATATCACAAGTGGCATTATACCAAAAAGACATTTAAATGCACTATCATTTCTTACTTTTGCAAATTCTTTGCGTTTGTCGTAAATCTTGTAATGCCATGCATGACCCTCCTTCAGCATTTGTTCCTGAGAGATGAATATATGATAATGCACAATCACTATTATCATAAAAGTAAACCAGCAGACAAACAAGATGCATTTCAGTTTCACCTGGATGAACACACCATCACAATAGATATCTCCAACACAGCGATCATACTGGTCCTGCCCATATACGTAAACCATGACACTTTTGCCAGCGATAAGGTTCACCAGCGCATTCTGGGACTCCTTCCCATATTGCATTCCCATCTCCGGTGCATCAATGCCCCTGTTTACTAAATCAAGCTCATGCATTTTCGCGACAGTTTATTTGATTTATGTTAAGGTGTAATGTATACCTCAATCTGAAGCGGTATTGCCTTGCAAGGATCTCATATTTTGAAGTATATATTATCCTGCTCATAGATATATTTAGTATATGGTATGCTTATATAACTCACAATAGAACTGGCACAAATTTTAAAGTTTATGATTTAAAATAACATCAACCACGCATAACCAAAATTATACATTGTCCCCATAGTGTGTGATAATAGCTGCCTCATAATTTATGTCAGTCTTGATTTGGAGTTGTGTGGAAATACATAAGCAATTTGCATGATTTTGACAGAAAAAGGATAATTGTCAATTATTGATAATCTGCGTTTCAGGCAAGAAATTTTTCTTTACAACCTGTTCGGTTATTAGTCAAACCTATACACATGATTTTTTTTTCTACCGAGAGCATTGGTACTATCACTTCATTTGGCCTTTTGGGTGAAGTCCCTTTCCCCTTTTTTCTCTGAAAAGAGGTGACATTCAATTTAAATGAAACAAGTACACACCAGAAATTCTGAAAACTAAGCACATTTATGCTGCAATGATCAGTAATATAAAAGAAAGGGACATGAATAGTTTAGTATTTTTTTACCTATAACCAGCTTTGTTCAGTTTACTTTGGAGCACATTTTTCTGTTGGCTGTTCCTATGCTTGGGTGTTTGTAACATTGCATTGACAGCCTCACGCACTTCCTGTGGCACATTTGTTGATTCTGTTGGATCTGCTGTGTCAACATAAGCAGTAAAGCCATCACCATCTCCAATGCACTTTGCATAAATCTGATAAAAGTAGTGGTTGGCAGGAAAATCATCATTTGTCGATTTTGAATGTAAAGCATCATAAAAAAAATGTGATGCTTGTGTTAAATCTTTAGCTCAAAATGGTTGGCCACATGACCCATGTCTGACCGGCAAAGTTTTCAGGACGAACTGCACGCCGTCTGGTAGTGATGCTGGATGGTGCTCTGTGGTGACTACAGGGGGCATTGGAATCGGGAAGCCATAGTAGGCAAGGACACCCTGGGGACAAACATTGTTTCCATGAGTACTGAGTTGAACAAACATACTGTCACTTCTAACTTCTAGTGGTAACAAAACAATGCAACTGGTAACTATTGTTTGTTTTGTTTGCAGAAGATTATAGCAGCACGACAAGGCTAGTCTTCTTTTTTAGGATAAAAAGGCTAAAATCTTGACATAAGCTTTTGAATAAGTGTGCAGACTTGTACTTGATACATCTCTAATAATCAAATGTTCATAGCCTTTTTAAATACCTCTTTGTGGGAGTACTAATTAGAATCTGAAAAAAGAGAGAAACAAGCCTTTGAAAAAAAAGTCGAAACTAGTAGGTCTCTCTATGTTCTGAAAAAATGTTACCTCCAAATTAGCTCCCTGGATCCTGCCCAGAGCTGTAGCAACTAGCATGGCAGCCTCTGCCAATGTTCTCGGAGGGGGTTCTGTTTTTACATAAGCTTCAGAGATATTCCTATACCTGTTCTTGTTCAAAGTACAGGTTAAATTTGACACACTAATTTTGTTTGGTGAAATCGAAACAAAGATTCTGTAGTATGTGCTGTTGTACTTGACACCAATGTAAAGAGGGTCATACCGTGAGAATCCTTATATTTTGCAAAGGATCATTATTTATATTAATCAGAGTTACAATTATTTTTCTATAATCATTAGCATGTCTGATATTGAACTCTGAGAAATGAAGCCAACTTTGGAAGAATTTTTTGCATAAGAAATGTACCAATTTCAATTTGTATTAAAACAAACAAGTGTTCACAAGCTGCTTTTCTCACATGCTCATACCATTTAGCTTGTGCTTTCTTGGATGATGTAACATGCTCTCCGAGCCTTTCAGGAACCTAACAGTATCATTGAAAAAAACACTTGCATCATGGGAAAGCTAGAGACTGGGTTAATGTTGCCACAAATCATAATGTGATTTTTGTTCCTGGTTAACCATGCGGAACTAGAGTCCAGATAGTTGAAAATGACTCAAACCATGTCCATCAGCACCACCAACCTACTGAGGTACGCTCATATAATTAAAATTATCTTTGCTCTTATAAAGATTTGAGTTGGTAGTGGTTCATTCACTTTTGGAGCAAGTTACCCCTCAAAAAATGAATAACAACAATTATCATGCATTGTATGTAGCAGACAGATGTACATTTTGGCTAGTTGATTGGATTTATGTGTATTTTGTGACACAAAAGCCTAAAAACTCATGCAATAAAAAAAACTTTGATATCAATACAAGAGCATTTAACTTTCATAGCGAGGCATAGGTATTGAGCTAGTACTACTAGCATTATTAATCCGTATGTCCACTACATAATTACATCTAGGTAGGATTTTACTAATATGATATTTTATGGGCCAGACTCTAATTAATTCAAAAATAACCCACAAAAACAAATACTCCCTCTGTAACTAAATATAAGAGCGTTTAGATCACTAAATTAGATTTAGTTATCTAAACACTCTTATATTTCTTTACGGAGGGAGAAGATTCTAATCAATTAATCTAGCATGACTTTTTGACACAGACATTACAACGTGTTGCAATTTGTGACCGACATTACACTAGTAGAAAAAGGGCCTTTAGTCCCGGTTCTGGAACCGGGACTAAAGGGTCGGTACTAAAGCCTCCCCCTTTAGTCCCGGTTCTAACTGGAATCGGGACTAAAGGCCCTCCACGTGGCCGCTGCCTGGAGGTCCACCTTTAGTCCCGGTTGGTAACACCAACCGGTACTAAAGGAAATTTTATGATTTTTTTTTGAATTTTTTTGAATTTTTTTTTGAATTTCAAATTTCTGAATTATTTTAACCTCTAATCTCTAATCACCCCTCATCACTCCAAATCATCTAACTTCCTAAACGGTCACCCATCCTCTCACTACTCCAGCCTGAGCACGCTTAACTTTCGGGTTCTATTCTCCCTCGTTTCCAATTGTTGTTTTCCTGACAATAGTAAGATGTCAATCCTATTAACCCTCAGGAATTTAGCTTGAGCATGAAGTCACACATTTCACTGTTTGAGTTTGAAACTATTGTTCTAAAAATCAATAATTATTTAGTAACACTAATATTTCTTGAATAAGTAGTTTGACCATAGTTTGACCACAATTTGACCATAGTTGACCAAAATTCAAAAAAACTTAAATAATTATTTAGTAACACCAATATTCTTGAATAATTATTTAGTAACACTAATACTTCTTGAATAAGTAGTTTGACCATAGTTTGACCAGATTTAACAAAAATTCAAAAAAAAACTGAAATTTGAGCATAACTTTTTTTCCTTTTAGAATTTGAGGATTCTAAAAATTTGCAAACAGGCCATAGGCGGTCTCCATCGGATGCGGATTTTCGTTCCGAACATTTTGATATATTATAAGTTTTTTCCGACATCGTATGCAAAAGTTATAGCTGTTTTACATTTTCCCTACACTTTTTGCAAAACATGTCCAAATTTAAGTTTTAAAATTTTCCTAACTAGTAGATGTAGTAACATAACTACATCTCGAAGGATTTTAAATTTTGAAGTTTCTATCATTTTCTTCTGCTTTTTACAAAACTGAAAAGGCGATGCACCCCGGGGGGGGGGGGGGTAGGATTTGAAAATTGCACCATTAGTACCGGTTCGTGCCACGAACCGGGACTAAAGGTCCCATTTGAACCGGGAGTAATGCATGTATGGTGCCCTCGCCGCTTGAATCGGGACTAATGCTCATATTAGTCCCGGTTCATAATGC